AGGGCGCGGCGGGCGGAGACGGGGAGGCGGGCGGCGGCGAGGTCTGGCGCTGTTTCAGGAAGATGTCTGCGTTGAGCGTTTGCAGAGAAAGTTTATAAAGACTATCGGTAGCTGGAGATTAAAAACAAAAAGTCTCAATGTGACATTTTGAGTTATACTCTCCCAAATCAGTTTTCGCTGTTCTGCCTGATTGTACGCAGAACCCTGAAAGAAAAACCTACAGCTTTGGTATGTGTTCTGTTTAAAGAGAAAACGGGAAGTCCTGTCTGCATTCTGGGCCCTTCCCGGAATCACCAGCCCCCGGCCGCGTTCTGCAGGCCCTCCTGGATGGTGTGGGCACCCCCGCTTCTCCAACCTCAGGCTGGGACGAGGCCTTTCCACGCCCTTCAGGGGCGGGCAGGTGAAGTCACTGTGTGGGAGACTTAGTATAAACACTCCCACCTCGGCCGATTAAGCTACAGCAGTTTGACAACAGCTAGACTATTTAACAGTGGCTTTCGCTGGCTGCTCCAAGCCAGCTCCAGCACACCAGACGCTGGAGCTCCTGCAGCAAAAGCCCCCACCCCCGCAGAGTTTACAGGCCCAGAGCGGGGTGGGCTGGGGGCGACGGGGCACGAGGTTCCTCCGTCACTGTCATGGTACTTACAGCTGCCGGGCTTGTGAACGGGCACGGAGTCCCACTCTGGTGGTGGAGAGTCTTTTTCACCTTCTGAGCTACTGGTGTTGCCTAGTTCTTGACTATTTGGGAGGAATTTCGTTAGGGCAGGTGGCCTGTTATCCACTAATTTATTTGTACCTGCATAAAATTCAGAAAAAGAAAGTTATTATGGAGGATAATTCCTTTCTTCCAGGTCTGTTTCAAAGAACCTTCTCATGAGGATGAGAACACAGCTGTAGCCTTTCTACGACTGACAACTGCCAAGTGATTCCTGGGAATCACAACTAACACTACTCACATAACGAAGCATTCAAGCCTGTGTGACCAAATCATTCATCTGTGTGACCAAAATGAAAGTACCTTTTGTTTTCTGGGAGTTTCGTGGTTTGGATCCACTTGCCAATGTCGTTGGAAGAGGAATCTTGGTTGGGAGGGTTCTACGTTGTTTACTTTCCAAGGGGGCGGAACATGGTAGCTCTAAGGAACTGAAAGACAGTCACGAATGGAAAGACAGTCAAATACATCCCTTTGCTTCAGAGCGGAGAAAAGTCGCTGATCCGTCTACAGTTTTAACTGCTCGCGCCCTCATGCGGCTTCCTGAGGTATTATCTACCCACGGTCCTCACCGGCTGCTCTCTAAGCACTCTGAATATTGTGCGGGAGACACCTGCACCTGCAGATTTATCCTCTGCTCTCCTGAGTGCGGACGAGGAACCGAGGGCCATTACTTAATACCATGTAACGGGGGGCGGGGGGCACCTGCCTCAGATACCGTGCAGAAGCCGCTGGCACAACCTCGCCACGCAGGAGCTGCCAAGTGCAGTCATTCCGCTCGAGTGAGTCTCACCCAGCATCCAGACTGCCTGCGGGGTTCCTGAACGCAGAGGTTCTGAGAGCTCTGTGACTTAGAAATATCAAAGGTTCTGCTATTCAAAGCTTTAAAAGTGTTCTTCTCAGAGACACTGTGAAACGAGCTGGGGCTACGTTCCTGGGCTACCTACGAGCTCCCCAGAGCCCAGGGCAGAGCAGCCACGCGGGTGAGATGAACTTTCTTCTTTAATCTTGAACTCAGGGCTAATCCTAGGCAGAAACTTAAATATTATTTTTATCGATTTATTTAGAGTACATTCCCTCTAAACTATTCAGAGGGAAGCTTAACACAATAAACACGTATAAACAGGACAGTTAATTGGCTCTGAACGTCCTGTGAGCCAAGGCAAATGGGAGGTGAGCTGGGCTATTTTAAGATTCCACAGCCCAAGGAAGAGAACACTCACACTTGCCGAGAGAGAAGCAATCTGCAGGAGAAGAGAACTGGGCGGACGGCTCATACAAAGTAGCCCAGTGAACAATGTGAATCTATGGACCAGAAAATCATTCTCTACAGAGCTGCCTCTGTACTGCCCCCAAGATCAAGTCTGGGGTGGGGGTGGGGCTCTGACAGGAGCTAAGCGGTCGTGGTCCAAAAATGATGTTTTCCGGTGAAGGCTGACTTGGCTGAGAGAACCTGGTGGCCCCTTCCGAGAACTCGTCCAGAATTCACCAGTGGTCTCCACCGTGCTCCTGGTCATGGCTCAGTTCAGGGCCGAGCTGACAGCTTGCTTTTCATTAAAAAAAAATCTTACAAAGTTTACCAATTGACACATGTTCTTAAAATGGATACGCCTCTGGCATTTCTCACTTCAGTGTACTTTCTGTCCCCAACCCACGGGCTGTGATTCCCACACATCCCCGCCCCCCCCATGCCCTCCGGGCACCACACCCTCCTCCTTCCCCTGCCACCCAAGCTCTGGGACAGGGACAGTCCACCATGCTAATTCACCAGACTGCAAAAGGCAGAATGGTTCAAACTTTCCAGGTCCAGTGGCACCACAGCACCCCCCACCCAAAGGTAAGCAGATGACAGAACACTATATAAAGTGTGATTTCATAAATAATATATTTTAACAGAGGCTATTTACAAACATTTTGTAAGGTCTATAAGGTCAAAAAGGTCATTTTATTTTCATTTTTTTGTTTATATTTCACAAACTTTCTCTAATGAATTGTTGTGACATTTGGAATTAGTATCAGTAACCAAAAATCCAACGGGCATAGTTAACCCAAGTAAGGAGAATTTCAGGTGGGATAACAGGCTGACATAAAAAACCCCACTGTTTCTGGGCTAGTTTCATAAATCTTCTGTCCTTCTACTTCTGACTGACAGGGTTATTTAAAAACTCTACCTTTTAGAAAACAAAGGCTCTCCCGACAGGGCCACACAGACCTCTGGTGGTGGTGGTGGTGGTGGAGGTGGAGGTGGAGGTGGAGGTGGGTGTGAACTGTTTTTAAGTAAGTCGTTAGTAAATGTGGGGGTGGGGACGGTCTATACAAAGCTCAGCTCTGTGCCTCTGTAGAGTTAGTTGGTTTTTAGGAAAAAGGGTGCCAGACAACTATTTTAATTCTGCTGACTCATCCCTTCCTAAATTAAACCAGATGATCTGTATCAAGAAGCTGTTGAGTAAAATGTGTAAGTGCCAATTTAATTTAAGTGAGTCTTGCTTAAAGGGAAAAACAGAAAGGTGGTTCAGGTGCCAGGCTTTGTTTCTGCCCGTGTAATACTCTGCACGTGCCCCTGTCCGGGGGAGGAAGAGGCAGAGAGCTGCGGGCAAGGCGAGCTACGCTCACACTCGTGGCTGGACCATCAAGCCCATCTCTGTGCAGAGGAGGAAAGGCTCTCTGCCTGGGAGCAAATCACCAACCTATGTTTTCCTCCTCCATTTTTACAGATTCTTAGCTCTGCCTTTTATATGTCTGATGTCAGAAGCACGTGGCCATCCCTCATCAAGACAGTGACCACTGAGGCATTAGAAAAAACCCAAGAGGGATGTAATGAGACACGTGGCTTTTGTTGCAAAACCCCCCTAAAAAACCAACCAAGCAAACAAAAACATTAGCTAGTTTTCACCAGTAACTTCTTTTGCATACCTCATGTCTCTTGACTCATTCATTTTTCTTACCTGGGTTTCACATCTGTTGGGATTTCTTTCTTAACATTTAGGAGTTTTTTGCTTTTTTGTTTCACTTGAGACATTTCGTTTTCATGTTTTTCAGTCATGGCTTGTTTTCCCTTTTGCTTTTCTGTATCCTGTAAAAAAAAAAGTACACTTAATTGCTGAGAAAGATTAATAAAAATGACTGACACAGTCGTGTCTGAAGGCAAAGACACAGAACCAAAGATGTAGTGCACACACACATCACGTATAAAAACGATAAACTCCTTTTTTCAACTCTATCTCTAACCACTGTGGCTCTGTCAGTTTTTGAGCCTCTGATTTATGTTTTGGTGAGTGTGAGCTATAAGGAACGTCACTTTAATTCACACTCACACCCTGACTGCAGGTGACAATGGTACCAACAAATCGGTAGCTTCTTGTTTTTAAGCATGGGTGAGCAAAACCTCACCTTTTTCACAAGAAAAGTGAGGACTACAGTATAAAGGAAGTTCTACACTCGTGGCAATGCTCCTAATCCTGTGCACAAGGAAGATGCGGGTAAGGAGGCAGTGTGGGCAGCACTGAGTGTTTGCGCTGGTTTGCTAAGTGCTCACGAGCGACGCGGGCGCGTCAACGGTGCTGGGGCAGGTGGGACCCTAGCTACTCACGCTCCCCAGGAGGGGCTGAGCTATGCATTCACTCATTCGGCAAACTTTCACTGGTCACCCACTTGGTGCCAGACAATGGGGTTACAAGAGGGTCCAGTCCCTTCCCAGGGATGGTAAAGTCTAGCAGGAGGGCAACACACATGATGGTTAGAGACCAACTTATGTCTTCATGTGGAAATGTCCACTGGCCATGACCGGAGCCCTGAAGAGCTGTCCTGTGGGCTCGGACTGAGAAGGCCACACCCAAGCTGCATCTTAGAGCTGCGTGACCCGGCTGGCCCAGCCACACTGCTTCTGTGTCCGCAACCAGCGGGGCACAGAGCCCGCACCACGTGCTCTAGAGTCAGCTCGTAGTGATGCATCCACGCATGAGCTCGGCGGGCTAGTCTCCGGGACAGGCAGGTACCATTCGGGTGCCGGTGACCTCACGGGGCAGCTGCATGTGGAGTGGGTGTGCACCGTGCATGTGCACAAGGACCACATATGGGACAGACTGGAAATAAAAACTCAAAACCTGGTTCTTCATCAGAGAGTTTGAGCCGCGCTGGGTGCACTGAGCTAACCAGGGGAAGACACACTTGCAGAAAGGAAGCGCAGAGGTGTGCGGAGAGCTACAGGGTCCATCGGGCCTCACAGCTTGCAGTTGGAAAGGCAGCCTGGCTTTTAATAGGTCGCACAGGCCCATCTATTTAACCATAGAGGAAGGGTAACACCCTCCTGCCCAGACATCTTCTGAGACTACTCTGAGTTATTCAGTAAGTATTTCTGGAGCACCTGACTCGTCAAGAACTTTGCAGACTGCAGGCCCCTTGAGGACAGGAGCCTGGTCTTTTCATCCACTGCTGTTTCTCAACCACCCAGCACTCAGGTACCTGACACACATCTGCTGAACGAATGGGGAACAGGGTTGGAAAAGACACGTACAAGATGAGCTGCCGCGTTTGCAATCTGGTTGGGAAGAGAATGCACACAATTGACGAATAGATCAGTTAGAGAAAGAAAAGCACATGAACTCCACAGAAGAGCTGGTCAGCAGGGGAGAAGAACTGGCTCAGAGGCTGGGGTCCCGAGCTGAGTCTGTAGGGAAGCGAGTGACGGGGAAGGAGATGGGAAAACATGAGGAGACCAATGGCAGAGAGGTGAGATTACGCCAGTGGGTACAGCTGATGGGGTCAGTGGAGAGGAGCCGCTGAGATGGGAGGAAAAAGCTGGAAAGGCAGAAACGAAGCGGGCGGCAGAGCTGTGGAGAAAGTCTGTGCTGAAGATGCTTTCCAAGTGCCTGTTCCCATCAGAGAGCACCGGGACCCCGCGCCGGGATCAGCTGCACGCATTCTGCTCCTCGGTGGGAGACATGCGCCACTGAGGTGACACAGCATGGAGGCCCGGTCCGAGCTGTGGACTGGACTGAGGGGCTGCAGCGCACCCGCCCAAAGTGAGGGATGCAAAGGGGAGGGCGGCTGACAAGGAAGTGTCACGTCCAGATTTTACTTTAAAAATTAATATACGCGGATGACACTGCTGGGGATCTTTAAGAAATGATTCCTTCAGGCACGAGATTAAGACTGAGGAAGAAATTCTGCTCTCCAATATTAAAGGCTATATTTGGCTCATTTTAAATATAGTTAGTTAAAAATAAAAATGCCAAGAAGAATTACGCCCCCACTTCTCTGCAGACCATTTATAGCTCACACTCTCAGACACGTTCACTGCAGGGACAGAGCCCTCGGCTGAGCCGATGGCCACGGGGCCAGGCACCTGCACTGCTACCCAACGCCTGTGACCACTCGGGAGCTGAGGACCAGGAGTGAGGCAACTTCTTGATGTGCTGAGGTGCGCTGGGTGGCTGCCCCGTGACGGGCAACCCCGGACGCCTGGGTCACAGTCACTGTGTGGGGAGTGGCTGCTCCTGGAGCCCCTGCACCAGCGGTGATGCGACAGGACCGGTCCAACAGAATCAGTCAGAGTGCTGTAATTCCTCCTCATCCTCTTGTGACATTCAGAATTTGAAACAATTTTCAGGAGTCAGAGTAGTTACTATTCCAGGGAGTCTAACTTTCAAGCCGTGTTTTGCATTTCTATCTATTTTACCGGATTAACGGGCTTCCAAGTTTGCTCCCTGGGAAGAGGAGACCGTCCCCTGCAGAGCCGCAGCGGCCACCGCAGGAGGGAGACTGTCTGGGCATCTCTGCGCTCTGAGCACGGACCCTCAGAACATGTGCTCACGGCACACGGGACACGTTCACTCTGGGCTGGAGCCCGACCTAGGAGACGCGGGTCACAGGCGCGGGCCGAGCGGCCGTACCTCCTTGAGGAGCGGCTCCGTGTCGGGGTTGGAGGTCTCCGTGGTGGTGGAGGAGCTGTCGTCGTCAGCCAAGGAGTCCTTCAGCTCGTCTTCCGGGGCTTTGCCCTTTCCCTTCTTCTCCTTCTCCTCCTGCTTCTTATTAGGAGCTTTAACCTTGCGCTGAAGAGGCTTTCCTTTCCCTGGGGATAAAAATCCAAGTGAAATAACACTTGCTTTCTAAATAGCTCAGAAAACAGCCATTAAATTTTTTTTCTTTCTTGAAGAGGCTGGACTCTTTCTGGTTAGTAAAGGTCTCTTCCTCTACTTTCTTTCTTCTCTAATTAAAGCTTTTCAAATCATGTTTGACCTTTTGATTACAATATTTAAAAAAATCAACTTTTTTGAGGCATAATTTAAGTACAATTAAGACATGCCCACTTAAGTGTGCAGTTCAATGCGTTCTAGCAAACTCACCAAATCTGACAACTCTGTGTGTCTCTCAGGATACAGCGGCCGCGTGAACAACGGAGGCTAATCTGTGTGTAACTCAGACTCTGCCCCCCACATCTGCGGTTCCTCCCACCCATGGGCCGTGCAGCACGTGGTCTTTGCCACTGGAGAAAAACCCACGCTAAGTGGACCATGCAGTTCGAACCCTCACTGTTCAAGGGTCACCTGTACTTTTTTATATCTCAGAAGGTGACAGAGCTTTGAAAAGTCACAGAAGTGACAACCAGAGATCCTTTCAAATCTGTTTAGAGCCTGATGTGACCAGGATGAGAGGCCACGTGTGTCACTTAGGGGGTTCTAAGAACTCAAGGGGGCGGGGTCCAAATCCCAGCTCTCCCTTAACCATCCACGTGACCTTGGCCTCTCGTCTGCAGGCTGCGGGAGACGACCTCACAGTGCTGTGATGTGGAACTAAATGGCGTCCTCAGAACAGGGCCCGGCACATAAATACCACATAAGTCATATATGGACAGAGACTGAAACAGGGCTACAAAAAGCCTATTATTGTAAAAGATGTGGGTGCTCCCAAGACAAGCATCTGAGTGCTGGCTGTTTCCCAGGTACAGCTCCATGTCCCGGGGACACAGCAGTGACCACCAATAACACAATCCCTGCCCCCGAGAAGCTTACATCCCAGCCAGACAGGAGAGCAGTGGTGATGTCCCTGGATGCCAGCCCCCTGCCCCAATGCACCAGCGAGATTGCCCAGGTAGGCAGACTAGTAAAGCTGCAGGAGCCACGTACGCCACCATTGAACCCATTCTGTCTATGCCATTAACAAAATTTATTTATTTATTTATTTATGTGGGGGAGGGGAATTAGATTTACTTATTTATTTTTATTTAATTTTTAATGGAGGTGCTCGGGACTGAACCTAGGGCCTCATGCATGCTAAGCACATGCTCTACCACTGAGCTATATCCTCTCCTCCATGTCTTTTTAAGTATACCTTTTTGATAATGGTGACTTGATACAACTCATTTAAAACCCTAATGTTTTATGCTCACTGTTACTGGGTGCCAGAGACTCATCCTTTGGTATCTACAACTGGAGTTGGCAAACTGCGGCCCATGGGCCAGACCTGACCTGTGGCCTGTTTTTACGGCTTGTGGGCTGAGAATGATTTTT